GTCCAGTTTAAGCACTAAAAACTAGTAGAGAAAACCTGCCTTTTATGATCCTAAAATCTCACTATAAAATATTATGTACAATAAATGATCTCTGGCTGTGTTCTGGAAACCATACTGTTCCTCATTGGACTCAACCTCTCACTGTTTTCCAGATGTCTTCCTTGCTCTGGCAGGTTGGTCTATTTATCACCCCCCCAACATGCTATCTTCCTGTATTACACTTTTTCAATTTTTTCCTCAATGCACTATGCCTGTCTTTAAATCCTCACCACTTAATCAAGTTCTATTATTCCTCAGTACTAGATCCAAAAGAGCCTTTTTGACCATCTAGCAAACAGAGTAATGGTTATTTTTAAAAGCATCTATTCTAGGTTTATTTAGTTTATTTTCATTGTATTTTTAAAAAGATTTATTTATTAATTTACTAATTTATTTATTTGAGAGACAGAGTTGCAGAGAGAGAAGGAAAGGCAGAGAGATCTTCCATCTGCTGGTTACTTCCCAAATGACTGCAATAAGTAGAGCTGAACAAGCCCAAGGCCAGATGCCAGGAGATTCTTCAGGGCCTCCCATGTGGTTGACAGAAACCTAGGGACTTGGGCCATCCTCTGCTGCTTTCTCAAGCACATTAGCAGGGAGCTGGATCAGAAGTGAAGTAGCTGGGACTTGAACTGGAGCCCACATGGGATGCTGGCACGGCTGGAGGTGGCTTAATCCGCTGCACCAAAGTGCTGGCCCCCCTCACTGTATTTTATTTTATTTTTTATTTTTGACAGGCAGAGTGGACAGTGAGAGAGAGAGAGAGAGAGAGAGACAGAGAGAAAGGTCTTCCTTTACCATTGGTTCACCCTCCAATGGCCGCTGTGGCCAGCGCGCTGCGGCCAGCGCACCATGCTGATCCGAAGCCGGGAGCCAGGTGCCTCTCCTGGTCTCCCATGTGGGTGCAGGGCCCAAGCACTTGGGCCATCCTGCACTGCACTCCTGGGCCACAACAGAGAGCTGGACTGGAGGAGGGGCAACCGGGACAGAATCCGGCACCCTGACCAGGGCTAGAACCTGGTGTGCCGGCGCCACAAGGTGGAGGATTAGCCTATTGAGCGGTGGCACAGGCCCCCTCACTGTATTTTCAACAATGAAAAGAGAGAGAGACACACACACATACACACAGAGACAGAGGCAGAGACAGAGACAGAGAAAGATCGAATTTTTTTAATAGATTTAATTTATTTATTTGAAAGTCAGAGTTACATAGAGGAGAGGCAGAGAGAGAGAGAGAGAGAGAGAGAGAGGTCTTCCTTCTGCTGGTTCAGTCCCCAATTGGCTGCAACGGCTGGAGCTGTGCTGATCCGAAACCAGGAGCCAGGAGCTTCTTCCGGGTCTCCCACATGGGTGCAGGGGCCCAAGGACTTGGGCCATTTTCTACTGTTATCCCAGGCCAGGCAGAGAGCTGGATCGGAAGAGAAGCAGCTGGGACCAGAACTGGCGCCCATATGGGATGCCGGCGCTTCAGACCAGGGTGTTAACCTGCTGCGCCACAGCGCCGGCCCCAAGAGATCTATCTTTGATCTGCAGGCTTACTCCCCACATGCTTGCAATAGTCAGGGCTGGGCCAAGCTGAAGCTAGGTGCCCAGAATTCAATCCCTTCCTTATGTGTGGCAGAGACCAAATTACTTGAGTCAGCACCTGCTGCCTATCATGGTGTGCATTATTGGGAACTGCATCAGAAACAAAGTAGCTAGGGCTCAAACCAGGGACTTTGATTTGGGATTTGATGTCCCCAGTGGTGTCTCTTAAACACTGCCACATGCCTGTCCCAGGACTGGCTATTGTACAAAAAAAACCTGTGACCTTGAATTAACAAAACACTAGCTAGTCACATTAAGAAATAGGAATAATCTAAGTAAAATCCAAAATTCTAGGAAAATTTAATCAAATCCCAGCTTTACTGAGAGTCATTTCTCCATCTATATAGGTCTATGGTGAACCTTTGTACCAACTGAGAAACACACAGTCACACAGCTCAGAAGGAACAAGTGGAAGGAGGAGGGCTTATTGGGACAGAAAGCAAGAGAAAGCTTGAATCTGGAATGTGGTGAAGGCAGGGTGATGATGTGAGCTGCGACTTTGTGAGCACATGAAAATGTTGACAGCTGTTGAGATATCACAGGAGGATGTAGGGCTGGGGATCCAGGAGCCATTCTTGCTCATAATTAATAATATGACATTGAGAAAAGGAAGGCTTATTAACCTTTCCTGGTACATATTAGTGAATTTTATATAGATGAAAAATATATGCACAGCCAATATTGAGTGAATTCTAATGTTCAACAGGGACATCTAAGGATCAGATGAAGGGTTAGCTAAAGCAGAAATAAATGAAGACTCTTGAACCATCCCCAGGGGTTAATTGGCTGGCCATGAGACTATAAAGTAAAATATTTAACAGGGGGAAAAATCCTTCAAAGCAATTTGCTGACTGTTGTCTTATGAGTTTTCTATTTACATTGATAGTGGCGTTGCAGGAGAATCTAAGAGCAATTTCAAGCAAGCATTAAAAGATTCCACTTTATGTCAGAAACAGGAGAGATAAGAAAGATGAATGAGTAATACAAAAACAATAAAACTAGAATTTTCTTTTTGACTCAATCTTGGCAGAGATATGAAGTATAGTCATTCATCTTCTATGTATAATAGTCCTCTTAAAGGCAAGCATAGAAAAATACAATTTTTAAGAAAATAAAAAAATAAGAACCAAATACATGAGAAGAACAGTTTTATTTTGGAAAAGGTGGAAGTGAATTTTAAGTTATTCTACTCTTAAGATGCTACATTGGTCAGAGATGGGGGGTTAGATGCAAAATAAATCAAAATAAGTTTTCATTGGCTTGACTCTTTACTTTCTGGTTTAGTGAATATCTATACTTATTTATATTTTGAGCAATTCATTGAGCTATTTGTTGTTTGTTTTCTTAAACTTTTTCATCCTTTCTTAGATAAAATATTTAGAAATTAAAAGAATAAAACTCCAGGCTTTCTTTCTTTTTTTAATAAAGAAACCTTTTATTTAATGAGTACAAATTTCATAAGTGCAACTTTAGGAATATAGTGGTTTTTCCCCCCATTCCCATCCTCCCACCCCCACTCCCATCCCACCTCCTCCTCCCTCTCCCATCCCATTCTTCATTATGATTCATTTTAAATTAACTTTATATACAGAAGACCAACTAAGTAAAGATTTCAACAATTTGCACACATACACACACATATAAAGAACTGTTTGAGAACAAATTTTACAGTTAATTCTCATAGTACAACCCATTGAGGGCAGTGATCTTGCATGGGGCGTAAATGTACAGAGACTTCTGTTGTTAATTTAACAATTAATACTCTTATGTATGATGCCAGTGATTACCCAAGACTCTTGACATAAGGTGCCAAGGCAATGGAAACCTTTTGAGTCTACGATCTCCCTCAATATTTACACAAGGCCATCAGCAAAGTGGAAGTTCTCTCCTTGCTTCAGAGAAAAGTACATCCTTCTTTGATGGCTCCTTCTTTCCCCTGGGGTCTCACTCACAGAGATCCTTCATGTAGGACCTTTTTTTTGCCACAGTGTCTTGGATTTCCATCAGGTTTTCTTGTCAGAGGGGAAATTGCTTCTCCAACTAAAATGTTTTTTTTCTCATTAAAAAATTTTTATTAATATAACCTGTTGAAGTGAAATGGACACTATGGGAAACAGTGACTTGATCAGCCCTTGTCCCGACTGTTGATGTACAATTTAATACTTTAACCCTTTTAGTATTTTTTTGTTCTACTTAATACTATTGGTTGAACTCTGTAATTAACACACACTTATTCTTAGGTGTTTAAATTTAACTGAAAAGTGATCTCTGTTAAATATGAGTGGGAATAAGAGAGGGAGGAGATGTACAATTTGGGACATGCTCGATCGAACTTGCCCCAAATGGTGGAGTTAGAAACGTGTCAGGGGATTCCAATACAATCCCATCAAGGTTGCCTATACCAATGCCATCTCACTAGTCCAAGTGATCAATTTCAGTTCACAGTTGATCACACTGATAGGTCTAAGAGTCAAAGGGATCCCACAAACAAGACTAGTGTCTGCTAATACTAACTGATAGAATAAGAAAGGGAGAGAATGATCCAAATGGGAAGTGGGATACACAGCAGACTCATAGAATGGCAGATGTCCTAAACAGCGCTCTGGCCTCAGAGTAAGCCCTTAAGGCATTCGGATATGGCTGAAGAGCCCGTGAGAGTATTTCAGGCATGGAAAGCCAAGACATTATGGCAAAAAAAAAAAAAAAAAAAAAGACCTAAATGAAAGATCTTTACGAGTGAGATTCCAGTGGAAAGAACGGGCCATCAAAGAAGGAGGTACCTTTCTCTGAAGGGAGGAGACAACTTCCACTTTGACTACGATCTTGTCTAAATAAGATCAAAGTTGGCAAACTCAAAAGGCTTCCATAACCTTGGCAACTCATGACAAGAGCCTAGGGAGATTACTGATGCCATAAACAAGAGTGTCAAATTGTTAAGTCAACAATAGGAGTCACTGTGCACTTACTCCTCATGTGAGATCTGTGTCCTTAATGTGTTGTTCAATGTGAATTAATGCTATAACTAGTACTCAAACAGTATTTTACACTTTATGTTCTGTGTGGGTGCAAACTGATGAAATCTTTACTTAATATATACTAAATTGATCTTCTGTATATAAAGAGAATTGAAAATGAATCTTGATGTGAATGGAATGGGAGAGGGAGTGGGAGTTGGGAGGGTTGCGGGTGGGAGGGAAGTTATGGCGGGGGGAAACCATTGTAATCCATAAGCTGTGCTTTGGAAATTTATACTTGCTAAATAAAAGTTAAAAAATATAATAGTTGTACATATTTATGGGTATAGTGTGATATTTCAATACAATTGGTCAAATAAGGGTAACTAACCTTTTCTTCTCATTATCATTTCTTTTTAGCACTACAGCTTTAAGACCTTCAATGAGAGTCTATAGCCTGAGTCTCCGTAACAACTGATGCCCAATATGACCACTCTGGCATGAAAGAAGCCTTTCCTGTTATTGGCTCCAGGAATTCTTACAATTCCCTTTGTGACATATTAAATAGCAAATTCTTCTCCCTCCAGTGCTCTGATTTTTAAAAAGGACAATCAGGGAAAATGTCTATGGAAAGGCTACTTTCCAGCTATTGGAATCAGCTTCCAGTAATTGTTGGTTTCAGAAATAACTGCTCGCTTTCACTGGTGGTGTAACTCATAAGAGGGGCAGAGTTTTTGATATTTTGCGTTGTATGCTCAGAAAGCAGAAAGCATTGCTGCAACTTTGGATTCCACAAAAGGAAATGCCCTGAATGTTTGAGGCCAAGCCACAGTAAGTGTCCTGCCCCAGCACAGTTCTATCTATCTCAGTGTCTCCTGCTGGATTTTTTTTTTTTTTTTTTGACAGGCAGAGTGGACAGTGAGAGAGAGAGACAGAGAGAAAGGTCTTCCTTTGCCGTTGGTTCACCCTCCAATGGCCGCTGCGGCTGGCGCGCTGCAGCCGGTGCACTGCGCTGATCCGATGGCAGGAGCCAGGTGCTTCTCCTGGTCTCCCATGGGGTGCAGGGCCCAAGTACTTGGGCCATCCTCCACTGCACTCCCTGGCCACAGCAGAGAGCTGGCCTGGAAGAGGGGCAACCGGGACAGAATCCGGCGCCCCAACCGGGACTAGAACCCGGTGTGCCGGCGCCGCAAGGCGGAGGATTAGCCTACTGAGCCACGGCGCCGGCCTCCTGCTGGATTTTTTAATAACCATCCTGTTTTTGAATCTTCCTGCTAACCAAAATAATCATCCTCACTTACACCCATAAGTTTTTAGGAAAATTATTTTCCCCCATCAAGCCCTCTCTCACTGTCTTGTCTTCTCCTTGCTGATGGTTCTTTGAGAATCTTCTCTTGGCTGTCCCAGTGACTGTTACTCTGCCACACTAGTCCTGTAGATTCAACTGTCACCTGCAGCCAGTGTCAGGCTGCCTAACTCATGTGGCAGGAGGCATTTTACATTGTTGAAGGTCTAGGTGCAGAGCTCAATATTTTTTGTCCTTGCAAAGATGTGCTTTAGGAGCCAGGGACTTGCTCTTAATCGCTTTTTAAAAACTTTCTTCTCCGTGCCCTATGATAGAAAAAAACAATTTGGATGGGGAGTGCTGAGACCCATAGAAGGATTACATCACCATATATCACATACATTGAAAGATTATTGTGCTTATTTATTTTAGTTTTTATTTATTTATTTTAAAGTAGACTGACAGAGAGAGGAAGAGACAAAGAAATGGAGATCTTTCATCTGTCAGTTCACTCCAAATATGTGCAAAAGCGGGGGCTGGGCCAGGCTGAAGCCTGGAGCCAGGAATTCCATCCAGGTCTTTAACATAGGTGGCAGGCACCAAGTACTTGGGTCACCATCTGCTGCCTCCCAGGCACATCAGCAGAAGGTTGGGTTAGAAGCAGAGTTGAAACTATATCCCCAGACACTCCCATATGGGATGCAGGCATTGCAAGTAGTAGCTAGTAGTAGCTTAACCAACGGTGCCACAAATGCCCAAATATGTCTGTACTAGTTAGATGAGAAAATTCTTTAATTCATGAGCAGAATTTGATGGGCTTGAGTTAGTGTATAAATAGCAAACATAATATTTTAGTGAAATTGCTATAAAAATCATTTTTAAAGATTTTATTCATTTATTTGAGAGGTAGAGTTACAGACAGTGAGAGGGAGAGACAGAAAGAAAAGTCTTCCTTCTTCTGGTTCACTCTCCAAATGGCTGAAATGGCCGGAGCTGTGCCGATCCGAAGCCAGGAGCCAGATGCTTCTTCCTAGTCTCCCATGCGGGTGCAGATGCTCAAGCATCTGGGCCATCTTCCACTGCTTTCTCTGGCCACAGCAGAGAGCGGGATTGGAAGAGGAGCATCTGGGACTAGAACTAGTGCTCATATGGGATGCCAGTGCTGCTGGCAGAGGATAACCTACTGCTCCACAGTGCCAGCCCCTCAAAAATCATTTTAACATTTTATTAGTGTTTCTTCTATTGTCTTTCTAATATACTGTAATTGTACAATCAAAGTGAAATGCCATGAGGGTGGAAAATCATTATAGTGAATTTCTTTTTATAACATAAGAGCCTGTATATTCCCCTTCATTTTGTGGACAGCAAAATTGCATCACAAGGAACACAAAAGAAGAATTTCCCACTTGCTGGTTTAAAACTTGTTACCTTTTGTATTTGAAGCTGTCTTTTTTGATGTCATTATTGACTGTTCTAGGATGTAGGCAAATGCCTTACCGTCACTCACAGAGTCAGGAGGTAATGGTTCAATACATGACATAACCAATGGAGAAAATTCCTGGGGGAATATGAAAAATCCTCATGTAAGTACTCTGGAAACAGTCCATAGTATTAATTTTCCAGACAGATCACATTGCACAGCAATCTTAAATAACTTGGGTTTAGAGTTATAATAGAGTATCACCAAATTTGCTCTTTTAAAGGCAGTATCTGCCCAACTGTCCCTTCAAAGTGAAGGTTCTCAGACAAATTCAAGAATTTTAAATACTTCTCTGATTCAGCCATATCTGTAATGAAAAAGCACAGAAAATGGTACTACCTGGGAGAGATTAATAGCTGATAAAAAGAAATAGTTACAAAATTATCAATATACAGTTTTTTGGTGGGTGACTCATGTCAACTTTAGGGTTGTTAACATTGTCTCATGGGCCATAGTTTTCTCATATAGAAAAATTATTTGTAATGTAAGAAGATGAATGTTTGAATAGCTATCAGTCAGGAAAACAATTGTCTAATACTTGTCCAAGTATTGTACAGTTGTAATACCAACCAACATAAAACACTCAGAATATTAAATGTTTTTAAAATTTATCATTGAACAGAAACATCTGCTCTTCAATCATTTATTTTTGAGGAATGCCAGGACTTTATTGAGATCTATTCCTTGGAGTCTGTACTGTTAGGGTTTCTAGTTGCATCTATATTCCTGATGCAAAATTTTTGATCTTTAGTATCAATTCTTTTCTTTAATAAGTGATCTAGTGATGTGGGAAAGCTTAGAAAGATAATTTTAAGTTCATGAGCTAGAAGTCGCACCTAGTTCATTTTGTGTTGTCATGTTCATCTACCTGTCAATCAGGGGACCCCTCCCCAGAAGCACCTCCTTTTACCTGGGACTTGGGGTGGTGCTACATAAACACTTCTGTTTTTCAAAGTGCATAAAAAGATAGGAAGAGCAGAAGCTCGCTCTTTCCTTCATGTGGACGCAAGCGAGCAGAGCAGGGTATGATAATTCCCTTTCTTTGGCCCCATTCTCCCTTATTAAGTCCCTAATGGGTCTGTGTATTTTTCTCACTTTGTAAATAAAGTTTTTCACACTGCATGCCCTGTTTGGGCCTGTATTTAGAATTCTTCTCTAAGTAAAAGGCAAGAATCTGGAAAATAAATTTAGGCCCAATTCCCAGCCTATAACACTAGTATCTACTTATTTGCATGAGTACAATGAGGCTGCAGTGCATATCTTGTCCATTGATGACTTGCTGTATTCATAGACTCTGGCACATCTCTCTGTGAAAGGATATCCTTTGACATGTAGTCTTATTGAAATTTTTTTTCAGTTGGCCCCTGGCCTTTGGTAACTTTCCACATATTTAAATTTCCATATAATTAAGGATTCTTCAATTTCTTTCCTCATTAATCTCTCCTAACCTAAAGTTATTTCCCTAGTTTTCTACTACAATATCCATTAGAAATCAAGTTGAATTGATTGTCACAATCTTATAATGAAGATATTTTTATTTCAAATGATACAAAGTAATGCATTTTTATTAGTATATCATTACTATTAAATTACTATTAACTTCAGAGAAGGTCAAGTGCTTACCATATGACAAAATAATATACAGTGGTTTTCTTGGTTTGAAATATCCTGAGCATGTTTTATGTGTAAACTAGAGGATATTGGATACAAAGCAAAGTTCTAAGTTACTGCTGTCTGAGGATGTTTAATGCTGTCATACAGAAAGTTTGAAACACTGTGCAGGTGAGAATCTGTTTTTCAGGTTTACTTGAAGCTAGAGGAGCCTTCAATCGTCAAATAGGCTTTAAATTTTTTCTTCCATCATCACAGTGCAGTGAACAATCAAATTGTACAGAGAATGTAGTTACTAAAATACTCAGAAACAGTGTGCTGTTGAAAGAGAGAGAGAGGCAGACAGACACACAGAGAGTCATATTACAGAATTACTGCTGAATGATAATAATAATAATAATAATAATAATAGAGCAAGGATTCTGTACCATTAAGAATACAAGCACAGACCTTCTAGCTATCCAGACAGTGAGGGGCACAGTGAGGAGGGCTCATTCCAGGGCAGACATTGTATTCTGGACACTGTTTAGAGCTCATCTGTAAGCCCTTGGTGATGAGGAAACAAACAAAAGACAGGTATCAGCATCCTGGATATATTCTGTTAAGTTGGTTTAATGCTTTGGATATGGTAGCCTGGATAAATTTCCAATTAGGAAGTATAAGCTTAGTCATTTAAAAATATTTTGATAAAATAGAGACTGAAAAGCACAATATTATAAACATTTGTATCTTTTTCATTGTAACTCAATCAAATAATTTCTATTGGTTCTTTTTATTTTTGTCAAAAAACACTAAGAACCATGGGGGAATTCTTCCTTATAGAAATTTGGACTTTACCAAATTATGAGGGACATCTGCTGCTTAGACTGGGCCAAACCAGATGAGTAGCCTTTACTTATAGGTGGTGCCTTGGTCAAGGACATTTCTAATTATGATGAGGCTGTAGTATCTGGAGGATGGTGGAGGTCGGAAAATAATTGATTCTATTCTTATGTGCTGTGCAGTGTGAGCACAAAGCCCAGAAGTTTTAGGTCAGCTTTTAGGATTACAGAAATGTGAGGTCACTGGAAGCCAGCAGAAGCCTGAACTTTAGTGTAATTTTCTACTTCCCCTGAAGGTGCCTGTGTCTCACTGCTATTTCATACATTGAGATTTGGGAGTCCTACACTCCTGTGGTATTAATGATTTTATGACTATTTTAAGATTTACTTTATGTGAGTTAAGTTGAACATCTTTTCAATTGAAAATAGTTTTAGCCCTTGCCTATGTTCCTGATGCACTATGGCTTTTTTACTTTCTGTAAAAAAAGGAGTGCAGATTGGTGCCTTTTCACATGGGACACCAAACGTAAGAAAAAGGGGTACAGAACAGAGAGGATTACAAACTTACATCCAGACTGAATTTATTCAAAGAAAATAAATCTGTGGAGGTGGGTGACCAGTTGGCAGTGTGCACACAAACTGAACACATGGCATATGGCCCAGACCCCAGTAGGCTGGGCCTTTTTATATCTTAGGTGGACTAGGAGTGGGGTTGGGGGGGCAGTAGGCAGAGGTGAGCTTCCCCAACAGGTTCTTCAAGTTCGGCCCAAACCTGGGTAAGAATGCAATGGGCTGGGTGAGGAACAATATGGTGTGAGAGTGAATTGGGATTCATGGACAAGGGATGAATTCTGATTTTATCTATCTTTTGGGTAATGATTGAGAATGGCTGAGGATTATGTCCTTGTTCCATCACTTTCTGTTAGTTGGATTCTTGATTTAATAGAACAATTAAGCCCTTCCTAGATCATAATATATATTAAAATATATTATCTCAAAAGTACAAAAAAGATTGGAGATGTTAGCAAGTTTCATAATGCCTTTCTATAAATTCAAAGCAAAAAATATGAAACATAAGTTGATTCTTTTTTAATGAATAGGAATAATTCCCATTTATTCTAAACATGAACAGAAGTACATTACATACCTCTTAAGAACAAGTAAACAGGGCCAGCGCTATGGCTTAGTGAGTAAAGCCGCCAACTGCACTGTATCCCATATGGGTGCCAGTTCACGTCCCGGCTGCTCCACTTCCTATTTAGATCTCTGCTATGGCCTGGGAAAGCAGTGGAAGGTGGCCCAAATCCTTGGGCCCTGTACCCACATGGAAGACCCAGAAGAAGCTTCTGACTCCTGGCTTTGGATCAGTGCAGCTCTGGCTGTTGCGGCCATTTGGGGAGTGAATCAGCAGATGGAAGACCTCTCTCTCTCTCTCTGCTTCTCCTCTCTCTCTGTGTAACTCTGACTTTCAAATTAATAAATAAATCTAAAAAAAAAAGAACAGGCAAACTCCTTGAAACTGTGTAGTAGACCACATAGGGATAAATGATCTTTATGCAGCTCAAAACCATAGAACCTCCATGTATTAGTTCATTTTTCGTGATTTTCATGAAATATATCAGGTAGGCTAACTATCAACAAAAGAGGTTTACTTTGGCTTAGGATTCTGGAGGTTCACATTCCAAGCAGCATGGTGCAGGTTCTGGAGTGCATCACTGCATGGTGCATGGCCTTCTAGAGGCAGAGTCCCAGGGTGGCACACAGCATCACCTGGTGAGAGACAGAGAGCTTGAGTGTCTACAACTGTGTGCATGGGTTATCTCATCTAGGAAAATCACCAGGTTCTACCATGGAGACTGCACCCTAACGGTTGTATCTAATGCAAATCACTTCCTGAAGGTCCCACATCT